CATGTATGGACAGGAGAACCTTTCTCACAATCTTGGCAAATTATGCAACTTTGGTTGCCCAATCAACATGTCATGCGCTACAGCTAATTTATTACTTGGTCATCATTGAAAATATATAGCCATTAGCAAATAAAAGATATTTTTTATTTTTATTTTATTTTTTTAAATATATATATATATATATATATATTTATATTTATATACATAACCATAAGAAAACTAAAAATAAAAAGCATGAGAAGTAACCCTTGGTAAGAGCACTTTCATCCATTGTGTCATGACAAAGGGTAAGGGCAAGTTCGAGTTTCGCTGCTAACGAGGGTTGGTTGAGTTGGTAAGGAACTTTCTCTTTGCTATCCATGCCTAGAGTCGAGTCTCGTTACCGACAATCCCTTTCGGTAGCAAAAAAATGGGCTAAGAACCCCTCTATAAGTTCTCAAATAGGCATTGGTACACTCCGACCCTAGGATGGGGTAGCCTTCCCTTCCCCTAAACTTTTGCTCATTAAAAAAATGAAAAAAGAGGCAAGGGCAAGTAAGGGCACGCTATTCACGTGAATAATGACTACCCTACCCTTTTTAATTTTTCTATCTCACCTATTGTCATGACAAGTAAAAGCAAGGGCAGCCTTCCCTTCCCTTAAACTTTTGCTCATTAAAAAAAAAAAAAAAAAAAAAGGGCAAGGGCAAGTAAGGGCACACTATTCACTTGAATAATGACTGCCCTACCCTTTTTAATTTTGCTATCTCACCCATTGTCATGACAAGTAAAGACAAGCACTATTCACATGAGATATGAGGAGAGGAATTTGTATGGAGTTTTGGTGTCTGAAGTGAAGAACATGGCTAGGTATTTATAGAAAAAAAAAATTCTAAAATTTTTGGTATTTTTTTATATAATGTTTTTGGTATTTCAATGGGTTGCTAACATCTTGATGATGTCAGCACCCCCAGGCAGCAGCCCAGGCAATTCTTGCCTTTGGACTGGCTCGAGTAACTGGGACCCATTCTTGCCCAAACTAGCCTTTGTTGATGTGAGCATTATTCTAAGACTGGGCAACCTTTTGCCATGGCAAAAGACCCCTACTGGAAGTGCTCTAAGAAAGTCATATATTTAACCTTTTTAATTAATGTGGAACCCAAAGACAAGATAAAAAAGATTGGGATGGATGATTTGACCGACGACCCACTTTCAGGAGGTTACAAAATGGAGAAACACTCTCATGCAACGAGGATATGACTTTTTGTTATGGACAATGCTTGGCTCCTGATGTATCAGGAGCCCCTCCTCCTCAACAATGATGTGGTCTTTTTAAAAAATGACACGTGTTTCTTTTTTTTTTCTTTTTTTTTTATTTTGTTTCCCTCTCTCTTCTCACCCACTCTCCTCTCCTCCCCCAACTCTCTCTTCTCTCATCCCCCCTTCTCTCTCTCTTCCTCTGCAACTCTTTAGAAGAAATTTTCAGCCCCTTTCTCTTCCCATCGCTGCTCCTCCATCATCATCACCCAAACACTATATATTGATTTCTCTCATTTTTTTAACTTTTAATTTTATTGAGTTATTTATTGAGGAGTTTTGGAAATTTAATTTTCAGCCCCTTTCTCTTCCCATCGATGCTCCTCCATTATCATCACCTAAACACTATGTATTGATTTCTCTCATTTTTAATTTTTAATTTTATTGATGAGTTTTGGAAATTTTGGGAATGGTGGAAGAAAGAGATGGGGAGATGGAGAGATGAGAGATGAGAGATGAGAGAGCTGGGGGAGGAGAGGAGAGAAGAGAGAGAGATGCGAAGATGAAAGAAGAGAGAGTTGGGGGAGGAGAGGAGAGTGGGTGAGAAGAGAGAGAGGGAGAGTCAGTGAAACAAATAAAATAAAAGGGGTTGAAAATTTCTTTTACAGAGTTGCAGAGGAAGAGAGAGAGACGGGGAGATGAGAAGAGAGAGTCGGGGGAGGAGAGGAGAGTGGGTGAGAAGAGAGAGGGAAACAAATTAAAAAAAGAAAAAAATTAAAAAAGAAACACGTGTCAATTTTTTAAAATACCACATCATTGTTGAGGAGGAGTGGCTCCTGATACATCAGGAGCCAAGACTTGTCCTTTTGTTATTCCCCGGCCAATATAACGCAATGACACATGTGACGTGAGATAATTTTTTCACATATCATTGTGTTATTGGTTGGAAATACTGTTAACAGCCTTTGGGCATTCCTTTGGGATTTACATATATATTTGCTTTTATACATGTAATGTACGTAATGTAAGTTGTAACTAGCTGCCGACCTTTGGTCAAGGCAAGTAGTGTATAATAGTATTATGTCACGGTCAGAAAATGAAGTTACAATTCAAAGCAATTGACTGAGCCAACCGCAAATCTCTCCGTCATAACATTGAATGAATTCACATAGATCAAATCAATTTGCCGTTTTGATCCTTCTAATTAATTTTATATAATAAATAATATATAGGAACTTTCACATAAATATTTATTTAAGTGTATTCCGATCGCTTCTAGATGTCGTGCGTGCATGTAAATAAAGTAGATCTTCAAGTTGAAGGTGTGTCGTTAATTCGATCCCTTTGAGTTTCTGGAACCAAATATCCCATGCTTGCCTTTTAGTTCATGGCTGTGAATGACAAGTCCAAGATGCATAGTACCCTTTGGTTCAAACGTAAGCAAGCAAGAAAATCAAAATCAAAATCAAAATCAAATATTATATATATATATATGGAGGTTTGGTTGAGAGATCACTCAAATAAGCTTATTTCAGAGACACTCTTGTTGGGTCCCCTCCGAATTGTATTTCACTAATCCAAACCGTCAATTTTGTAGATACTCATTCAAAGATCATCTCTACAAAAAATCACTTAAATCCGATATCATTTGACCACTCAATTGAATTATTGAAATTTTAGTACTTTCTTAAAGCACCGTGTTCATTGATTTTGTAGGACACAATTGGATATAGAAACGGTTTCCGATTTGTCTAATTTTTTGTAAGGATGATCTATGAATGTAGACTTAAAAAATAGATGATTTGGATTGTTGAAAAAAAATTCGTAGAGAACCCTAAAGGGTGTTCCTCAAATAATTATTTGAGGGATCCCTCAATAGAAGGGACAATCATACATCATCATAGATGACAATTCTTATCTGTCATTTGGATCATTCACTGTATAAATTTAAACCACACGCTCCATATATATATATGGCTTCTTCTGTTCGTCTATCTTTCATCGGTCCCTTACTCTTTGGACTAGTAGCAAAACTACTGTTCACGTACCCTAAACCCTGTGACTGAGTGCCTGTGTGCCTGAGTGCCTCATCCATCCATTATCCATATATGGATAGATAGAGAAAGATCATCAAGAGAGAAAGACTAATGGCTTTGTCTTCATTAATATTTCCTCTGAATATTCTTCTTCTTTTGCTTACTTTCAGCATTTCTGCACAAACTTTAGCCGCCAGATTTCATCATCATGAACCTTCAGCTCATCAACAACAACAACAACAGAAAGCAGACCAAGTGAGTGGACTGCCTGGTCAGCCTCCGGTGAGCTTTAAGCACTTTGCAGGATATGTTACCGTCAACAAAACTCATGGAAGAGCACTCTTCTATTGGTTCTTCGAAGCAATCAACAACCCTCAAGATAAACCCCTCCTCCTTTGGCTCAACGGAGGTACATACCTAATTCTCTTACTTCCCTACCACAAATTCTTCAAATTAATTTGTTTTTTCGTGGAAAAAATTTCATATTCATCTTCTCCATCTTGCTTTGCTGCATCCTGAAGATTTTTAGTTTATTTTCTTATTAATTTTCTTGCCATTTATGAGTAGAGACACCCCAAATATAGTCTCACTTGGAATTGTCAATATAATTACAATCTGTCATAATCAAATATGATTATTACTATTTTCATGGTAGATCAGTATATATGATCTGTACTGTTTAACTTGTATCTATAATGAAATTGAGTTTTTCATATTTTATTGTATATTCGTCAACGTCTCCTTGTCATCAAATTTGTTTTCCATATTAATAATTACGCGCTTATATTTGTCTTTCATGTGGATGGGTCGGGTCCAATTGGAAGGAGACCTTTAACCGAAAACAAATTTGTAAACCTCCTATAAACGATATTAAATAAATATATAGAAGGATACCATGCATCAATGCAATGAAACTTATATATATAGAAATTCTCCTATGCGGAAATTCGGACGTTATTATCATACAGACGTTATGTATTTTGTACTACCCCTCTTTACTTTCATGTCTATTTACAATAGTATCCGCACTATAATAACATACGGACATTTGAATATATACCGATGAATATTAATAGTTTCAACAGCAATATAATATAATATATAATAATCATTGTTTTGACTTGTTCTCCGTCTTCTTCTACCTAATAATACCCTTAATTTTTCATTAAAGAATAATAAAATTTGAAAAGAAGGGAGATAGAGGTGTAGAGTGTATTCTATTATTGTTATATTTTTAAATGAAAACCCTAAAATGATTGTAGGGTTAACTGTTGATTTGCCCCCTCAATCAATTTGTACCTAACTTTCAATTTACTCCATATTCTTTTTTTTTTATATAGAAAGTTAAGTACCTCAATTATTATTTTTAGCCAATTTCCCCCCTGCCTTAATTTTCCTCACATTCCATCCAATTTACCGTTAAAAATATCATGTGACAAGCATGTGAGGCTATTTAAGGGCAATTTGGTCATTTTTGCACCTTAACAATAATTAAAATTTTTGCACCAGGAAAAATGAAATGTCTGACTCACTGAGTCTTGTTCACGAATTAATCTAAAAAATGTCAGGGCCTGGATGTTCATCAATTGGGTACGGAGCAACAGAGGAGTTAGGCCCTTTCTTCCCTCAAAAGGGCAGCGAACCGAAGCTCAAGTTCAACCCTTACACGTGGAACAATGGTTGGCTGAATTTTAACTTTCTAAAGACAACAACATTTGTATTTTCTTTCCTAATAATGATCTTCTTTTTTTTCTTCTTTTTTTTCTATGTTGTGTGTAAATTTCAGCTGCCAATTTATTGTTTCTGGAGTCTCCCGTGGGAGTGGGATTTTCTTACACGAATACTAGTGAAGATATCAGCCAACTTGGCGATAAAATTACAGCTGAGGATTCTTACAACTTTCTCATCAACTGGTTTCAACGGTTTCCACAATACAAGTCTCATGACTTCTATATTGCTGGAGAAAGCTATGCAGGTAGCTACTACTCCTACGCTCTAAGCTCTTAATTATTATTTGCTTGCTTACTTCATTTGATTTATTTATGTTTTAGCTTGTGTTTAGTATCATGAAACTTTAATTAACTATATATCTATCCTTTTTTTATATATGCATTTTACAGGGCATTATGTTCCACAGCTTTCTGAGCTCATCTTTGACAGAAACCAGAACCTGTCCAAGGAGAATTATATAAACTTCAAGGGATTCATGGTGAGCTTTTATCATCTACTATATATATATATATATTGCTCATGTTTTGGTTTGTTCGTTTTCCATTCATTTAAATTTAGCCAAAAGTTGCATGTGGCCCTGCTTTGGAACGATCTTGGGCTAATTTGCTATATTACCATACCTATTTTATATATATTACACAAATGAACATGAAGACTGCATGCAATGCAATATGCAGATTGGGAATGCAGCAATAGACGATGAAACAGATCAGAAGGGATTGATTGATTACGCGTGGGATCATGCGGTCATCTCTGATCGCTTGTACCAGGATATCAAGAACGAATGTAACTTCAGTGAGCAAAACTTATCAAGACTGTGTAATAAGCTGATGGACGAGTACTTTGATGTCTACAAAATCATAGACATGTACAGCTTGTACACTCCCACGTGCCTCAGTAACAACAGCAGCGCCACCACCGCTACCAGGCAATCCCGCACCATCCAAGGCTCCCCCACTCTGTTTTCTAGACTTGTGAGTTCCCTCCCTTACCATTACAATTTACATGTATAATTACATAACAAAACAAAACAAAGCAAAATGCCGGAGGAGGAGGAATGAATGAGATTGAGAGTGAAAATTTGCAGGATGTAAGGCACAAAAGACCAGCAGGTTATGACCCTTGTGCATCAGATTACAGTTATGTGTATTTGAATAGGCCGGATGTTCAAAAGGCACTGCATGCCAATGTCACCAAAATTCCCTATCCATGGACTCACTGCAGTGATAACATCACCTTTTGGAAGGATGCACCACCCTCCATTCTTCCGGTGATTGGAAAGCTTGTAGCGAGCGGCCTCCGGGTTTGGATTTACAGGTAGCTTTGCTGTCGTACTAATGTGATTTGCAGGATGAATTCAATGAATGAATTGCTGCGCTTGGTTTGGTGACATGACATTGACATAATGACATTTGTGCAGTGGGGATACTGATGGGAGACTTCCAGTAACATCAACAAGATACGCCTTGAAAAAGCTGGGATTGAAGATTAACGAAGATTGGACTCCTTGGTACAACAACAAACAGGTACTCTCATCGGTTCCTGCCTTGTTGCTAACTCAGTCTTGAATGCTAAAATAAAATAAAATTGTTTACTGATCGTGTTTTTGAATTGATTGTCTCAAATTTTGATAGGTTGGCGGGTGGAGAGTTGCGTACGATGGGCTTATGTTTGTGACAATTAGAGGAGCAGGTCATGAAGTTCCGGAGTTTGCACCAAAGCAGGCGCTCCTCCTGGTTGAACACTTCCTGGCCAATAGCACACTCCCATCTAAACCATTTTAATTTTAGCCACTCTCCCTCCCTCCCTCTTCTTCATGTCAATAAAAATACTACATTTTACGTTTCTTTGGAATTTGTAAAGTCCTAGTCAATTTTACTAGTCAGCCAGAGACCGACTTCAAGTCTTTACGTGTTAATTTTTGTAACTTTCAAGCAGTTGAAGGAAAGAAAGAAAAACAATCGAAAGCCTTAGTGAACTTGCACAGAATTGAGAGAGAGAGAGAGAGAGAGAGAGTCAGAGAGAGAGTGTCACAAAATTTTGGCTATTATGAAATAATCTCAGACAACAACAAATAAGCTAAGCCTATCGTGTCACTGATTTCTCTTCTAAATTCTAATATACAATCAATGAAACAATCATCCTTCTTCAAATTGTACCAACACACACTCTAGCAACAAAAGATAAAATACTAATAACACAACAGATGGCCCAAAGGATGATAAATGAACTCGTTGGTTGCAATCACAAAAACTTGCATACGAGAGTGAGGCATTGACTTCCGCTGCTTTCTCTCTATTATTACGTCTCACTTTTAACTATCAAAAAAACCAGGACCTGCTCGTGAAAGAAGTTCCTGGCCTGCATCCTTACCCATGTTGATCATATCTTGAAAAGCATATGTGCCTTTCCTTGAAGTTTCCAGTACTGAAAAATAGACACAGGGAAGCATAATTAGTGCCATATATTTTTTCTTTCTGTTTTAAGTTTACAGTGGAGAACAAGGTAAGACAACTGAGTGAATTTTCCTCAGACTGTGAGCACGAACATACCACGGGTTCCATCAGGGGAAGCCACCAACCCTTTGAATATGCAATAACCATCCTCATCTCTGCTAGCATATCCAGCAATAGGAGTTCGGCAAGACCCATCCAGGGTCAGAAGAAACGCCCTCTCACATGCAACTGCTAGCCTTGTTTCCTCGTGATTCAATGAGGCTATGTAATTAGCCTGCAAGCAAAAGACCAACAAAAAATTGAACAATGTTTTGGACAGAAAAAAAATAAAAATATATGTATATATATTCAATCACCAGAGAAAAGTTATATCACTAGTTTTTTTTTTTGTTGCTTAAATTCTATTCATTTCATCCATGATTTTCAAGCTACAACTCATTCAAACTAAACTAGCTTAGAATTGCTTCACTTTAGCCATTGTATAACACTTCTACACAAATGCACAAGTGTGTTCATGGGGCCAATTTCATGAAGTATTTTAACCAACTAGTACGAAAGTACAAAATCATTCAATATGGTAGCTCCAGAATAGAAATGTGCAGATTGAAACTCACCATTTTATCATCATTGCTTCGGCAGGCAATTCCAATTGCCCCTTGTGCAACTGCTGGAAGCATTTCATCTAGTGAAAGAATTGAAGTCACATTTTCCGTCATATCTAAGCGTTTGAGTCCAGCTAAGGCCAATAAGGTTGCTTGGACTACCTTTTCATTGAGTTTTTTAAGCCGTGTCTGGACATTACCACGAAAATTCTCTAGCACCTACAAGGATGATATTAACCAAAACATGAATGAGAAGCAACAGAAACATGTCAGGAATCCATCCAATGGCCCAGGAAAAACACAAGCCCATGACTTTCAAAAACTAGCACATAGCTCGAAAGGTTGCTCCCAGGAGGCTCCATTAAATGCACCCAAATGCCAAATTCAACTTTGAATAAAGCAATATGAAATGAAATAGCATACAATCTCCTAAATATGAAGTATGTAAAGGTGACACCAGACAATATGGTAGCTTACATTGAGCGATGGATATCTATTGAGTATCTGTGACTTTCTTCTAAGGGAAGCAGTACCAATAGTGCTCCCAGCTGGCAGATCTGCCAGAGAAGATGCAGTTAAGGATATAAATGCATCTCGGACATCCTCTCGCGGAAGGTTGCATGGAAGAATTGTCTTCTCAGGTAAGTAGGTAGGGACATCCTTCATTGAGTGGACAGCAATGTCAATTTCACCATTGATTAGTGCCTCGTCTATTTCCTTGGTGAACAAGCCCTTCCCACCAATGTCCGCAAGGGGTTGGCTCAGTATTTTATCGCCAGTAGTTTTTATAATTACAATCTGAATTGCCCCCTCTTCAGCTAGGTCTGGATGCGATGCCATGAGTTTGTCTCTTGTCTCATGAGCCTGAGCAAGTGCTAGTGGGCTATCCTATATCCAGAAAGAGTATCAATAACTCACGAAAAATACATATAAGTTGTATAGAAAAACATTTGGCACAAGATTATGAAAATAAACCCATCAATATGAAACTAATACATACATACACGCATGAAATGAAGGATATTGAGACAAATATACAATCAATCAACCGCAAGAGACAAAATTAAAATAGCACCTTTTGCTCTAAGAAAAACCTTGAGAAAGATTAAAACTTTAAAGAAATCTAACCAATTACTGACGCAATTGAGCACAACTAAATGTAGCAATTCACAAAAAGAAAACAGAGATGAATGGTGTCATTGAGCTAAATTCAAGTTACATTCTGAAATAGGAGCAAACCCAGAAGTAAGAAATCGGCAATAACAGGAAAAGTGTACCTCCCTCGGGTGCCAATTCTGATTAGCGCCAGTTTGACCTTCTGGGTCTGCTGCTCAACAGCAACAGAGGCCCTTGGGATCCCAACTGCACTGTGTTTTCTGATACAGTCGGGAAAAGCTCGAGTCTTGAGGGAAGGCAAAGAGAAGCCAGGGACTGAGACTGAGCCAGCTCCTGTGAAGTTGATTGAAGATAAAGGAAGAGCCTGTTTAGTCAAAAGAGAAGAAGAACAAAGGACCTCCATAGCCACCAAATCTTTCAGAGAGAGGGAGAGAGAGTAAGGGGCGAAAGAGATGGGGATTGGTTCGGGTTTCAAGTTTGAAACTTTGATGAGATTTTGTCTGAGGTTGGTTGTTGATGTTGGATAGGATTTGGATAATAGAGGGAATTTGGGATTGCACTGCAGGCAGGGTATGGCTGGATAGTCCGGTTTCTTATCAACTTCACATGGTTTTGGCCTATTGCTAATAAAATAATGCTTGCCACGTTTCTTTTTCATTTTTGGATCGTCCCCCTCTCTCTGGGCTTCAACTTTTGAATGTAGATGCTTCACTGTGGCCCATATCTCTACCCATTCAAAAATAACAAAAACCGACAATTTCCACAAAATCGTAAAAATAAATAAAAATTCAACCAAATCCATCACGGGATTTCCTTCAACGTTTTATCAAAATAGAAGACAAACAAAGTTCCTGGGAAAATAAAATTAACCAAAAAAGAAAAATACATTGATTATTACACACTAATTTTAGAGAGGGAGAGACGATTACAGTACAGAAACATTCATTTTAGATTGGAGAAGTTGGGTTAAGTAAGTTGTTGAGAGGGAAAAAGTCCCCCCTCAAGCCTGTTGCAATCCACCAAGTAGGCAAACCCATAAGCCAAGTTCTTCAAGGTGGCCTCGTGCAGCTCCGGATCTGACGTCCCAGTCGCGTCAGTTGAGAAAAACACTCGGAACCCTCTAACGAAGGCTTCACGCGCCGTCGTTTCGCAGCACAAGTTGGTCATGACGCCCGTGACGATGACCTCCTCCACGCCCCTCTCCTGCAAGTATTCCTGGAGGCCCGTGTTCCTGAAGGCGCTGTACGTGTTCTTGTGGACGACGTGGTCCTGGGCGTCGGGGTTGAGCTCCGGCATGAGCTGGGATTCGGGGGTGCCGTCGAAGATGAGATCGCCGCGCCACCACTCGTCGAGCATGCCGTAGTCGGAGGGGGACTTGTGAGAGTGGCGGGTGAAGATGACAGGAATGGAGGCGCGTCGGCAGAGGCGGATGGTGGTGAGGAGGTTTTGGAGGATGGGCTGGGCGATGGAGGAGAAGTAGTTCTGCATGTCGATGACTAAAAGAGCTGCCACTTTTGGATTTGGGTTTCTTTTTCTGATGTCGTATTTTTCGTATGAGGAGGAGGCCATGGTTTTAGAATTGAGAAGTGAGTGATTGAGTTAAGCGCAGCGTTTGAGAATTAATTAAAGGGCTAATTTCTTGTCTCGTCTGTCGGTGTGGGTCTGGGCCATGGTTATAGTTTGATTGCTGAATTTGATTGATTATTGATGTTGATGATGCTCTCTCTCTCTCTCTCTCTCTCTCTCTCTCTCTCCTGCTTGGTTGCTTGCTTCTATGGTGTTCCAGAGTTCACTGTGAAGAAATTTACTTGTTCACCCTCCCTCCCACTACATAAGTTACTAATTCAAAGTATACGCGGCTAAATATGGCTGGGCCACCTATTTTGTTTTTATTTTTTTTAATTTTATGAAAAAGAAAAAAGGAAAAGAGGTGAAAGGTGAAGATCCTTCTGGAGACTTCCTCCATCTTGGTCACCAGTATGGGATTTCCTCCTTTTATATTGTAGATGAGATGAGAGAGAGATCCATGATTGAGGGTCACCTCCTGTTCTGCTCCTGAAAAACAGAGAGAGAGAGAGAGAGAGAGAGAGATCAGATAAACAATACATATACATATATAATTAATATTAATAATGTCGTATTTGCTACCTCACCTGCACTCAGGTTGGGCCGTGGACCAGGCCATTCTTGCTGAGGAAGAACGTATCGTCGTCATCCGATTCGGCCATGACTGGGACGACACTTGCATGCAGGTAAATTCAATTCAATTCCCACGCTTCCCTTACTTTCTTTAAAACTCTCATTCATTTAATTTAATTTAATTTAATTAATTAATTGATTGCCTTAGATTTGATAAATATTGCTTTGCTCCATTCCTCTTAATTATGTGGCTATTTTCTTCTTAAACCAACAAGAAAATAAAGTTATTATTCAACAAATACAGATTACGGACGGACTGAGGGAGGGAAGGGGAGGGAGGAGGGTCATTACAAATACAAGTTACAATCTGGGCTCATTACAAATACTTTTGCAAGTTTAGGGACCTATTTAGGACGAAAAAACAATTTAGGTACCAAAGTGGGACAAACAAACAAGTTCAGGGGCAGTTTCAACATAATCCCAAAAAATGTGTTAATTAATTGGTAGATTTTTCTCTCTGAGGGCGAGAGAAAGCCAGAAAGGTTGGGACTCGGGGCACTACTCTTGGGAGAGAACTAGACGAGAGCGAGGAACGATGTCGTATTTGCTGCCCCACCTGCACTCTGGATGGGCCGTCGATCAGGCCATCCTCGCGGAGGAGGAGCGTCTCGTCCTCATCCGCTTCGGCCACGACTGGGACGAGACCTGTATGCAGGTAGGTTCCAACCCCCCCCTCTGCAACTTTCACTAACCCTAAACCCCCAATTCCCTTTTTCTGTTCTTTTTTCTTGTTTATGATTTATATTTTTGATGAATTAAGCCATTCAATTATTTAGAAAATTCATAATTTTGAGGATAGACAGACAACAAACGAGTAATTATACTTTAGCAAATATTTGGCTCTCTTTCTTTAGGGTTTTTTTCATTCATATACTTCGAAGACCTGGTATAAATCTTTCACCTTTGATCTATACTTGCAGATTGAGGTAGTTAATGTCACATTTTTTCGCCTTTTAATTTACTTGGAAGTTGGAACTTCTTTTAAGGGAAACTTGTGTGAAGAAAATAAATGTTGCATAGACTAATCTGGGTTAATTTTACTCTAATCTCAAAATTTGATACTCCAAACTGACTCCTAATTTAATCTAAACCGTAGAATGATTTATAATCACTTCTTGATCCCTGTATGAATTGAACCCTGTTTTTGAATGCTCCTGGTTAATTTCTTATTTGTTATGTTGTCCTGTTGATTAGATGGATGAAGTGCTTGCTTCAGTTGCTGAGACACTCAAAAACTTTGCTGTGATTTACCTTGTCGATATCACGGAGGTTCCTGATTTCAACACAATGTATGAGCTCTATGACCCTTCCACTGTAATGTTCTTTTTCAGAAACAAGCACATTATGATTGACCTTGGCACTGGGAACAACAACAAGATCAACTGGGCTCTCAAGGACAAGCAAGAGTTCATTGACATCGTTGAGACGGTGTACCGTGGGGCAAGGAAGGGACGCGGTCTGGTCATTGCTCCCAAAGATTACTCCACCAAGTACCGTTACTAGGCCCTGCTGCTGAAAATGTAATTCATTTCAGACAAAACCTTCTAGTTTGGATGGAGTTACGTTGACCTTTTATAGGTGATTTAGGGAAGCTAATGTATCTGAATGTTTTCTATGCGTACTGCATTTAATTGTTTCTTCTGCAGACTGCATGGGGTGGGCAAATGTTTGTTATTCTGCGTGTTTGGTGTGTGTTCCAGAGATATCCTTTATAAACCCAGACTATCTATTTATAAAATGTCGTGTTGATAATTCAATTCGGCTGATTGATTCTTTTGCAAGAGAAATGATTGTGAAAGGATAATAAAGCTAGATGTTGTAACAAGGGAGATAGTAAAAAAAATGCTAGTGGTGCTTTAGATTTTCATTATTGTATTATGTGTATATATTTAGAATAATTATGAAATATGTGCCCTAAGTTTGCCTACTTTTAATGGCATCTACAAGTCCCACAATGACCGTGCCAATGATGTACCAAGTGATGGCCGCCAATATGATCTGTAACCAAGAACTGTTGACTATCTCCAATGCGAAAGAGCCATATACATGTTCCGTTAATCCACCACCACCATTACCATTACCTACAGCTCCCCCGTCTCCTTGTGATTGTGATTGACCAACAACGGCAGCCATCAATATTGCTGGTGCCATTGGAGCCAACCATCTAATGGGGTTGGGCTTGGGCTTGGGGTTCCTCTGTACTGATCTATAATCTTTGTCGACATTCCGTCGTTGATGAGCAGGCTGTGATGAGTTGGAGTGGTTGTTTTGAGTTGATGAGGAAGCTGTTGCTGCTTCTGCATGAGGATGAGCATTGGTTAATGGTTTCCAATAGTTGTCGTCGTCCTCCTGTTTGGTTGATGGTGGGTTTAATGGCCGGACGGGTCTTGTGCGCCGCTGATATCTGCCCTGTTTCCTAGCAGCCGCTGCCTCTCGGAGGAGGTTGCCGATATCCCGGTGGTTGGAATGGGGTGAATATGTAGGGCCAATGGATGATTGGGTAAAGTTTTGGAGAGATGTGGACTGATGATGAGCTGAGGTTGAATAGGGGGTTTTCCAATACAACCAGTTGGAGATTGATCTGATGGCTTGAATTGCTGACAGTCTTGCTTCTCTTTGAAGGTCCGTCTCCTGAAAGTTGAATGAAACCATAGCATGCACATGTAAATAATTGCTACTCATTCATACATTATTAGAATTAGATAGACAGAACTGAATGGAATGGAATGGAAAGTTAGCAACTAACACTGGAAGTTTGTGTAGAGGAAGCTTTTTGTTTTGCTGCATCCTGGAATCTGGTCTGGAATTTTTTGAGATCAACAAAAATGTTGGAGACACGTGCACCTGCTGTGTTCCCCATGCCTATTCTTACACTGCCTCGAGGCTGCTTCGACATTAGAAATTCCAGAGCTGCTAGGTTTGATCGCTCCACAATCCTATTAATATATATATATATATATATATATGCTGCTATCAGCAACTTGATTGAAGCAAGCAACTTGTATCTATATATGTGTTTTTGGAAGAGAGAGAGAGAGAGATACTGACGAGATGCAATCGACAGGACATGCCTGAATGGCCTCTTGGATTTTGGATTCAGGATCAGCCCACTGTCCAACAACCCTGGCTCTTCCATACACTGATTCGATTGCGAAAGTATTTTCAGCGCATAAGGCGCATTTCAAGCAGCCAATGCACTTGACTTCATCCACAAAAACTGCTCTTTCTTCGCTTTCTGAACCAAACCAAACTGAGTATATTGGTTTCCCTGAGTACCCTCGAAGCTCTGCAATTTTCGCTTGCTCCTGCACCACCCATATATATATCCATGCTCTTCTTCTTATGAATAAAATCTTGTTTTCTTAACTAAAATAAATCAAATTAAAAGGGAACTAATCAATAAATTAATTAATAGCTTATAATATATACCTGATCATAAGCTGAACGTGAATTAGGATCAGAGAGAAGAGCATATGCTTCATTGAGGATGATAGCCATGTCATGCCCTGCTGGCCCTGCGATATCCGGGTGGCACCGCTTCTGCAGTGTCCGGTAGGCTCTTTTGATCTCAGATCGATCGCAACTGCTATCGATCCCCATCAGCTCATACAGATCAAACTCTGTGATACCACCACCACCATTACTAGTACCACTACCAGTAGAAGTAGAAGAAGCAGCGGAATAACAAGCAAACCTCCTCCTCCTGCATGATCTAATCATGCTGCTGCTAGGCTTATAACAGTAATCATAATTATGAAACACTTTTGTTATAACATTTGAAGTGGTTGTGGTTGATCTAATTGGGGAGCTGCTGCTGCTTCTGGCTATAGCATTTGAACCACAACCACTAGTATAAAACAGAGGAATAAGAGGAAGGCATGCTCCTGCTGCTGCTGCCATTTCTTCTGACGTCAAGTATTCACCAATTCTTTCTTTCTTTCTTTCTTTCTTTCTACTTTGTAGATAAGACGATCTAACACTTCAAAACACAGACAGAGAAATAAGAGGTGGAGGCTTTTACAACATGTACACTAGCTACTTACTTGTTCTATATATATATATTGGTAGAGAAAGAGAGAGAGCCAGGACAAATAATATGAGATATTTTCTTTCTTCAGTTCTCCTATCGCTTTCACTTAAGCTCCTTGATCTACGGAAGATGATGAGAGTGCCAAAATAAATGAGACCAACGAATTAGGATAAAATAAAATAAAGTAGGTTGCCCCCATGCAGGATCGAACTACAGACCTTCAGTTTACAAGACTGACGCTCTACCACTGAGCTATAGGGGCTCCTTGATGCCAATGTTATTTAATTACGTTCTTATACGGTTAGTTCCAAAAAAAAAGGGACGATCCTTTTAATATCGAACGGAGACGCACGCAGTCGGGTAGACTCACTCTAGAGACAGACAGTGTTGGAATAGAAAGAGTGGTAAATACACAGAGAGAGATGGAGAAGACGGTGAGCGTGAACGTGAGAGCGGAGATGGAGAAGCTGAGCCCGGAGCAGTTGAAGGCAGTCAAGGAACAAACTGATTTGGAAGTCAATCTTCTTCAGGACTCCCTCAACAACATCCGTACAGCCACCACTCGCCTCGAGATCGCCTCCTCCGCTCTCCACGACCTCTCCCTGCGCCCTCAGGGCAAGAAGATGCTCGTCCCTCTTACGGCGTCCCTTTATGTCCCCGGCACCCTCCACGACGGCCACCAAGTCCTCGTCGACGTCGGCACCGGTTACTTCATCGAGAAAACCATGCCTCAGGCCAAAGATTACTGCGAACGTAAGATCAGCTTGCTCAAATCTAATTTTGACCAGCTTGTCGAGGTACGCTCTCAAGTTTTCATTTTTATCGGTTTCTAACTTGCAATTTCTTCCAAATTTGTATTTCAATTTTGAGTAAAATTCCCTTGATTTTAATTCCATTAATTTATTTTGTGGTTTGATTTCTAAACCTAACCACGACATTTTTCCCAAAAAGCCTAGACTTTGGTGAAGAACTTGCTCTACTTTGATTCTAAAATTATATAACTGGTACCTGACTCCATTTCTTTGGGATAAAAAGCCTAAACTGTGGTCACTGCTGCTAGGTTTGGGGATTTGTCTTTTTACAAATTGTGCAGTGAGCAAATTTGATTGTGTATATTTCATTTCGCTTGTATTTAATTTGATAGCTAAAGGAAAACCCTAAAAATGTTTGCTTTCGGGGATTGAAGAATGACCCCCCGAATGAGGGCTCTAATCTGATACATAATTTAGCTGTTCATCTCTTTCTTATTCATAAGGAACTCAATTATTCTGAGTTGGGAATTTTCTTTTCTCGTTCTAATTTGTTTGGCTTGATTCCTTTTGTATTGCTGTTGACTTCCATTTCTATTTAAGAAAACATGAGTTGAATTTAACGTGCAGGTTGCTTCTAAAAAGAAGAGCATCTCGGATGAAGCTGGGGCAGTTTTGCAAGCCAAGTTGAAGCAGTTGGCTCCTGCAACATAGTAGGAGGGAGGTAGCTGATGATTTTTGTCATGTTTGTTTGTTAAGTTATGATATTGCATTCAGAGATGGTGTTCTAGTGTACTGGCTTTGGTTTGGTGGACAAACAAACAAACAAGTGATGTTTTGTTCTTCCATTTTTTTTTTTTTCTCAATTATATTTTTTTGCAGTAGAAGTGATTTCCCAATCTCAAATTGCATTTTAAAAAAAACAGAGTGGTCCTTTTGAATCGAGAACCACTAATGCTGTGGTGTGGTAGTGTGGAACTACTTGAAAGTTGCTTCTTTAAAAAACTATACCAGTTTCAGCTGTTGAGTTTTAATTTGAAAGAATAGAAACTGCTTTCATCTTCTTCTTCTCGAGTCGAAAGATTACTACATTCCAAGCCTTGAACTTGTTCAGAAGACCAGCTTTCATACCTGTAGGTTGTACCCTCCCTATGATGCGTATACGAATACTTTGGTTCAAGGCCCCAACGAGTCACGATGTTGGGATTAAATTGTCGTTTCAGTGTCTAATTTAATAAGTTGAGTTTAAGGCCCCAAAGAGTCACGATGTTGGGATTAAATTGTCGCTTCAATGTATAATTTAATTGTTGGAGCAGGATTTCCTAGGGGTGGGCTTTATTACCGAAAACCCGACCGAACCAACCGAACCGACCGAACCGGGCTGTTTTTGGTGGTTTGGTTCGGTTTTTATAATAATAAAAATTCAGGAACCGGTAAAAAACCGGCCGAACGGGCCATAAATCGGGTTGAACCGGTTTAATTTTCTCCAAACCGGAAAAAACCGGACCGGATCGACATTTTAAAATTATATTATTTAAAAATAAATTAATATACGTGGCACCGGTGGATTCGTCCATTTTATCCCAAGTATACGCCTTGCCACACTCGATCGCTCGCGAAACCCTAACATTCCTTCAGCCGCTCGATTTTTTTTTTCTCTTCACTTCTTCCTTCTTCGAGTCTCTTCTCTTCTCTCCATCAGATCTGCCTCTCACTGAACCTCCTCTCCCCGACCAAATCCGTCGACTTCTTCTTCCAATCTCTCTTATTCTGTTAGTCACTGTCGCTCCCTCTCTCTCTCAGTCACTCTCGCAGAGTCGCAGCGTGGCTCTCTCTCTCTCTCTCAGTCAATCTCGCTCTCTCTCTCTCTCTCTCTCTGCTCTCTCTCACGGTCACTCTCGCTCTCTCTCTGTCACTCTCTGCTCTCTCTCTCTCTGTCACTCTCACTCTCTCTCACGGTCACTCTCTCTCACTGTCAAATTGAGCCGTAAATTCTCATTTCACGAGTTAGGGCTTTGAGGTACTAATATCTCGAAAACTTGATTCCAAAAATTTAGGGCTGCTGGTTGTGATTTTTATTCTGGACAGATTGATTATTCTGGTTGTGATTTCACGGGTCTGACTATGTTGTGATTTTTTTTATTTCTGGACAGATTGATTTTGAAGGCAAAGGAAAGGAAGTTAGTTGCTGCTGGTTGTGCTTTTATTTTTGGTAAATTTCTGTATTTTTTTGGTTCTTGGTTTAGTTGTTATTTTTAGTTGCTGCTGGTTGTGCTTTTATTTCTGGTAAATTTCTGTATTTTTTTGGTTCTTGTGGAAGTTGTTATTTTTAGTTGCTGCTGGTTGTGCTTTTATTTCTGGTAAATTTTTGTATTTTTTTGGTTCTTGGTTTAGTTGTTATTTTTAGTTGCTGCCTTATTTGTAGTTTACAAAAATTATAGTTTACTAATATCATGAACGAGCAATTTCAGTAGTTGACAAAAAATGTGTATTTGCATAGGTTATTATTTTCATGGAGTGACAATTTGAAACCCTGTTTCAATTAACCCACTACCCCCACCCCTTCCACAATCAGCCCCTAGCACTTTAGGAAAAAGAAGGCCTTGTAAGAATGCTTCGGGGGTTTATGATCATTTCACAAAGATGAAGGGTGAGGATGGTAGTATTGACCCTAGATGCATATGCAAGTATTGTAAAAAGGATTATGCATGTGATGGTAAAAAGAATGGCACATCCACTTTGTGGCACCATTTGAGAAGTCAATGTAAGAGTTCTCCATTGAGACATGAGAAAAAATAAAAAGTCATTTCATTTGAGGGTCAAGCAAAAAGGGGTAACTTAGTAGCACATGCATTTAGTAAAGTGAGATGTAGAATTGCATGTGTCAGGATGATTATTCGGGATGAGCTTCCGTTTAGTCATGGGGAAGGGATTGGGTTTCGTGAATTTTTGAAGGAGGCACAACCTAGATTTGATTTGCCATCTCGTACGACAATTGCTAGAGATGTGTGGAACCTCTATCAAGAGGAGCAAGCTAAAATCAAGAGTGTCTTAACACATAATTCACAAAGGATGTCCCTTACCGCCGACACTTGGACTTCCATTCAAAACATCAATTACATGGTTCTCACGGCCCACTTCATTGATGATGATTGGGTGTTGCATAAGAGAATCCTTAACTTTTGTGTCATTCCTAATCATAAGGGGGATATAATTGGTAGGCTAGTAGAGTCATGTTTGAATGGATGGGGGATAGACAAAGTTTTCACCATATCAGTTGATAATGCTTCCTCCAATGATGGATGTATTAGCTACATGAAGAAGAGATTAGAAAAGTGGAATTCACTCATATGTGATGGTAGTTTGTTACAGTGAGGTGTTGTGCACATATTACTAACTTGATTGTAACCGATGGAATGAAAGAAATTCATCAATCTATTGAGAGTATTCGTAATTGTGCTAAGTACATTAAGGGGTCATCTCAACGGTTTGAGAAGTTTAGGGCTTGTTTGGAGATGAAGAAGGTTGACACAAAAACTCTTTCATGGTATCAATTATGAAATCATACATGCATATTTTGAACAAAACAAGAAATGCAAGAAATATGTTAAGGAGCCAAGGAACTGCTCCACATTGGGTTTTTGTCCCATGTAAGTCCTAAAAGCCCTAACTCTATTAAACCAAGAATTGCTTCAACCCCTTCCTTCCAATAATTGAGTAGCATTTTTTTACATATTTAGTAGTCTTCTAAACACTTGTGTGTAGAGTGTAGACAACAACCAACACTGTATGCATCAAAATGATTTATGATCTAACATTTGAAGTTGCAACCACCTTCAATAAATCTGATAAGCGAATAAAATTTTGGCTTTAAGTTGAATGAAGCATTTTTTTCGTCATTTTATTTTCAATTTCAGAATAACAAGAAAACCTAATGCAGTTTTTCAAATTTCTCTTCTTTTTCTATATTATCAAGCAACCAACTAGAAAACCTTTTTCTTTACAATTACAAATGCATCAAATCTGACAAATCACCTCCCCTCAGCGAAATACAAAAAAGTCATCCAGTGGATCAATCAAATTTCAAAATTCCAGTTTTTTTATTTCCTCAGCAACCAAACAGAGGATTATTGTAAATTACCAAAAAGAAAAAGATCATCTTTGAACAAAGATTACTTGATGTCGATTGATTGAAATTATTCTTTTTGCATTCTGAATTACCCTGGTGTTGTTTAGCTCCAGCCTCCGTCAAGTGGGTGAGCTTTCGAATTCCAGCAACAAGTATAATTAAACAAAAAATCAAGTAAGAAGCTCCATACAGGGATTTATGGAGGCAATAACAGCTCAGTTTCTTTTTGCTAAAAAGGATCTAAGAATGGCATGTATGAGAGGATTCAAGTAATTGACTGGAGTTTGTTCTTACCAGCGGAAAGAGGAATTTTCGCCTCTTTGTTTTTGGTGTTTGACGGCAGCGAGAGATGAACGAAAAGCAGGTCGATGGCCGGAGCGGGAAATCTGGCCGGAAGGCAGAGGGCTGGCAGTTGGGTGGTGAGTCTGGTGACGACGGCAGATGTTGAAAAACTACGAAGACAAGAGAGATGAGAGAACAGGAGTGATCGTGTAACCGGAGGGACAAGCGTCGTCATTAAAGAAAATAAACTAGGGCACTTTTGGCATTAAAAGAATTCGTTAAACCATCTGCTTGCTTTTTTAAAAAAAACAGGTCCTCACCTGCTCCTCAATGTCAATATCGTGGTCAGGGACCAAAGCTTCAATGTTAAGTAGATTCTTATTCTAATTTGGGGGGTTAAATTTACTAAATTGAAAAAGTAACTCGGTCATTGTTTTGAATGCCGAGATTGAACTTATTAAATTAGACACTGAAGTGACAATTTAATCCCAACATCGTGACTCGTTGGGGCTTGAACTCAACTTACTAAATTAGACGCTGAAGCGACAATTTAATCCCAACGAGATTAGACACTGAAGCTACAAACAAGCCCTACACTTCTCTAACTGTTGAGATGACCCCCTAATGTACTTAGCACAATTACGAATACTCTCAATAGATTGATGAATTTCTTTCATTCCATCGGTTACAATCAAGTTAGTAATATGTGCACAACACCTCACATGCAACAAACTACCATCACATATGAGTGAATTCTACCTTTCTAATCTCTTCTTCATGTAGCTAATACATCCATCATTGGAGGAAGCATTATCAACCGATATGGTGAAGACTTTGTCTATCCCCCATCCATTCAAACATGACTCTACTAGCGTACCAATTATATCCCCCTTATTATTAGGAATGACACAAAAGTTAAGGATTCTCTTATGCAACACCCAATCATCATCAATGAAGTGGGCCGTGAGAACCATGTAATTGATATTTTGAATGGAAGTCCAAGTGTCGGTGGTAAGGGACACCCTTTGTGAATTATGTGTTAAGACACTCTTGATTTTGGCTTTCTCCTCTTGATAAAGGTTCCACACATCTCTAGCAATTGTCGTACGAGATGGCAAATCAAATCTAGGTTGTGCCTCCTTCAAAAATTCACGAAACCTAATCCCTTCCACATGACTAAATGAAAGCTCATACCAAATAATCATCTTGACACATGCAATTCTACATCTCTCTTTACTAAATGCATGTGCTACTAAGTTACCCCATTTTGCTTGACCCTCAAATGAAATGACTTTTTGTTTTTTCTCATGTCTCAATGGAGAACTCTTACATTGACTTCTCAAATGGTGCCACAAAGTGGATGTGCCATTCTTTTTACCATCACATGCATAGTCTTTTTTACAATAATTGCATATGCATTTAGGGTCACTACTACCATCCTCACCCTTCATCTTTGTGAAATGATCCCAAACCCCCGAAGCATTCTTACAAGGCCTTCTTTTTCCTAAAGTGCTAGGGGCTGATTGTGGAAGGGGTGGTGGTGGTGGGTTAATTGAAAAAATCAAGTAAGAAGCTCCATACAGGGATTTAATAAGTTCAATCTCGGCATTCAAAACAATGACTGAGTTACTTTTTCAATTTAGTAAATTTATCCCCTCAAATTAGAATAAGAATCTACTTAACATTGAAGCTTTGGTCCCTGACCACGATATGGACATTGAGGACCTGTTTTCAAAAGAAAGCAAGCGGATGGTTTAACGAATTCTTTTAATGCCAAAAGTGCCCTAGTTTATTTTCTTTAATGACGACATTTGTCCCTCCGGTTACACGATCACTCATGTTCTCTCTTGTCTTCGTATTTTTTCAACCTCTGCCGTCGTCACCAGACTCACCACCCAACTGCCAGCCCTCTGCCTTCCGGCCAGATCTCCCACTCCGGCCCTCGATCTGCTTTTCGTTCATCTCTCGCTGCCGTCAAACACCAAAAACAAAGAGGCGAAAATTCCTCCTTCCGCTGGTAAGAACAAACTCCAGTCAATTACTTGAATCCTCTCATACATGCCATTCTTAGATCCTTCTTAGCAAAAAGAAACTGAGCTGTTATTGCCTCCGTAAATCCCTGTATGGAGCTTCTTACTTGATTTTTTGTTTAATTATACTTGTTGCTGGAATTCGAAAGCTCACCCACTTGATGATCTTTTTCTTTTTAGTAATTGACAATAATCCTCTGTTTGGTTGCTGAGGAAATAAAAAAACTGGAATTTTGAAATTTGATTGATCCACTGGATGACTTTTTTGTATTTCGCTGAGGGGAGGTGATTTGTCAGATTTGATGCATTTGTAATTGTAAAGAAAAAGGTTTTCTAATTGGTTGCTTGATAATATAGAAAAAGAACAGAAATTTAAAAAACTGCATTAGGTTTTCTTGTTATTCTGAAATTGAAAATAAAATGACGAAAAAAAAGCTTCATTCAACTTAAGGCCCAAATTTTATTCGCTTATCAGATTTATTGAAAGTGGTTGCAACTTCAAATGTTAGATCATAAATCATTTTTATGCATACAGTGTTGGTTGTTGTCTACGCTCTACACACAAGTGTTTAGAAGACTACTAAATATGTAAAAAAATGCTACTCAATTATTGGAATGAAGGGGTTGAAGCAATTCTTAACAGAGTTAGGACTTACATGGGACAAAAACCCAGTGTGGAGCAGTTCCTTGGCTCCTTTACATATTTCTTGCATTTCTTGTTTTGTTCAAAATATGCATGTATGATTTCATAATTGATACCATGAAAGAGCTTCTATAAGATCTTTAGCATCCTTGACCCCAAAAAAAAATATGATCTTTAGCATCCTGGTATTTTCATGAAGTCTCTGAACTTTTCTTAACCGTTTTAATCTTCTTCTGTTCAGAGGATATGTCATTCTTGAAGCATGTTTGGGGTGATGTTGAGAGACAATTTTGGGTTTCAATATCACATAGTGGTTTAACTTTTCCAGGTCTGAAGTAAAACCCAAAAACTTTCTTTATTTCTTCACTACAGCTTCCAGACAAAGATTGGCAGAATTTGATTGAGGCAGCTATTCCTCTTAGGTCTCATTACAGTACACCAGAGCCAAAGATCGATCCGCTCTATTGTAACAAGCATGGCATTAGTCTTCAGTTACACAGCCTGCAGACAGCTGTCGCAGATGCTTGTGGCAATAATCTTTTTTCACGGTTCTGAATACATTTTAGCAGTTGGCATTCACGGGAAATCAAATGTCACTCTGAAATCTCTTCTGATCAGCAAAAACTATCTGGTTGCAATGATTTTTTCCTTGCTGGAGTACTTAATTGAATATATTTTGTTCCCTGGTATGAAGGAACACTGGTGGGTCAGCAACTGGGGCCTTGGAATGCTTATAATAGGGGAAATCATTCGGAAGATGGCAATAATTACAGCTGGTCGATCCTTCACACATCTCATCAGGGTTCGACACTCGGAGCATCACCAACTGATTACAAATGGAATTTATAGAGTTGTTCGGCATCCTGGTTACTGTGGTTTCTTCATATGGTCAGTGGGCACTCAGATAATGCTTTGTAATCCCATATCAACAATTGCATTTGCACTTGTAGTTTGGCGCTTCTTTGCACAAAGAATACCGTATGAAGAGTATTTCTTGAGGCAGTTTTTTGGGTTGCAGTACGAGGAATATGCCAGACAAGTTCCTGCCGGGGTGCCTTTTATAAAGTGAAGATCCGAGGGATTCTGAGGGAAGGGTTGAATTCCTCTTGCCTCACTCATCTTGCTTCTGCTAGATTGTAGAATAGTGTTGTCTTCTTTAGCTGATAAATGGGTTGCAGGTGAGACTGAGAATGTATCAGCCAATGTTTTATAAGGCTTCTCCATGAGACTTAAATTCACATGAAAACTTAACATTTTTAATCTATATGTTTACACACGCAGACAATGCGTTGTTGGTGTTTGGTTTCCACCACATAAGATTACTGTTTGAAGCCCCACCATCATCATGTGCAGGAAAACTAATAGATTATAAGCCTATAGTCTATACCTTTTAAATATAAGGGTTATTCGTAGCAATGGTACCTCAACTATACCCAAAGTTACACTTTGGTCACTCAACTCAAATATTAGTTGCAGAGGTCAGTCAATTACGTGTTTTGTTGCACCGTTAGTCCTACCGTCAAGTCTGTTACTTTTTCTATTTAAAATGATGACTTGGCAAGCATCTCTTAGATTATTGATGGGCAAATGTGACTTTTCAGTTAAGATTATTGATGGGCTATAATCGGTTTTATTAATGTTTACTAAAAAATAGTATCGTTGAGCGGCTATACCTTTTTTGACACGTGGCACCTAGGAGCTCTGCAGCTGTTCCCGGTTTTTAAATAAACTCGATTTTCTTAAATATAATGGATTTAAATAGTAGTGTACTATGAATTTGTTTAAAAAATAGTGTAGCCGCCCGGCTATACTTATTTTTGACACGTGGTGCCTAATCAATAGGGGGTCCTCTTTTTTTAATTAAAAATAGTACAGCCGCCCGGCTATACTACGTGTTTTTAATTTTTTTTTTTAAATAGACTTGTTTTTGACACATGGCGCCTAATCGTTCGTGCGTCCTCTTTTTATGTATTAAAAACAGTATAGCCGTACGGCTATACTATTTTACACGTGGGCGCCTACTAGCTGTGTGGGTGCTATGTTTTTTTTAAAAAGTAAATCGTATAGCCGTGCGGCTATACTGGAATTTTTTCTAATTTTTTTTATAAAAAAGTACAGCTGGGCGGCTTTATTTTTATTTTTATTTTTATTTTTTAATTGAAGAGATGAGTGGTTATATTCTATTTTATATATATATACATATGTACGTACATATTTTTAAATAATACATTCATATTCTATACACGTCTCACATTTTTTTTAAAAGCAAACATACAATATTTATATTGTACATGTACGTACGTATTTCTAACGTTTTATACACATATTTTAAAAATATAATGTATTTAAATAGTATAGCTGCTAGACTTGTTTTTGACACATGGCACCTAATCGTTGGGGGGTCCTCTTTTTTTATATAAAAAATAGTATAGCCGATCGGCTATACTGCTTGGTTAGGTTTTCATTTCCCCTTAAATTAGCATAAGAGCCGATGCCAGTGTGACTAAAGGCCCGTTAAAAACTGAAAGGACCCGCATTGGGCAAGAAACAAGAGTGAGAGGCTTCTTAAAGCCGCGCCACGAAGAATTAAGTGTGGGCCAACCCAACCCAAGGCAAGTAACGTAAGCAAAACCCAAACCCAGAGAAACAAAAAGCGACAGAGGAAAAGAGAGAGAGATGAGATCACCAAACGTATCCGTTGTCCGCCAAAGGCTTCTTTCTTTAGGTGAGGAACCGGCCACCACATCGTCTCCTCCGTTCAAGTTTTTTATTTTATGTGTGATGTTTGATGTTTTGATGTCAACAGTAAATCTATGTATTTAGTTGTTTGAAAAGGTTGTTGGGTTTCATCAATCTATTTTGAATGTTCGGTTGCATTTTTCTTATGAATTTTCCCATGTTCAAACTAGTTAACAAATATTTAATTGCTTTTATGCTTGGTGATTCTATTGTTTGGCCCTAAATTTTAATCGGGTGACCTAATTGTCTCTTCATTTTATACAATTCTGCAGCAATTAAGTGTTCTTGTTGGTTTTTCACATCCATGCTCTTTTTTCCCCTCATTTCAAATGCACAATCACTATTAGTAAGGGAAAATCCTTTTCCTGGTACTGAGCGATTATGGGTGATTCACAAACCCAGGTTCTGAACCAATTCTCGATTACAAATCAACTCGACCTTGAATTGGTTTGGGTTGATGTTCACTTGGTTAAACATCTACTGGAAAGAACATGCAACGTTTTCTCTCTCCATGTGTGTGTATGAGAGGGAGAGAGAGAGAGAGATAAAGAAAATTCATAATTTTTATTTTTGCAGGAATGTTCTGTTTTCTTTTTTCCTTAATGCTGAAATATTGAACAAAGAAATTGTTTTCTTATTTTTAAAAGCTTACTGAAAGAGAAAAGATTTTGCATAAATTACTCAATTTGCAGCAGGTTTTGTTTTGTGGATTGCCAAACATTACAATTTTGTCACCTTTGTTTGGTAACACTCCATATACTTATAATGGTAATTCATACACAGTCGTTATTTTGGTAATAGGCACTGTGAAAGTAATGTTAATTTAAAATATATGGTAGCCATCTGACTTTCTCATACTCTCTTTGCGAATGGTTTCCCTTTTTCGACCTATTATTTATGTACTTACTCTCTCTTTTAATTGTTCAGTTGAATTAAGTACTTCAAGGTGCAGTTTGACTAACCCCAAGTTATATTAAAATCTGTCTTGATACGTGAGCAGTGATAAGTTAGGGTCTTTTCATTAATGGCAAACCGGCCCCAGTCGCTTTCAATGAATGTATCATTCGGAGGTCCAAGTACTTCAGTACCAAGCATTGCTGGAGCTCAAGCAAACAAGGATCGTAAAATGGCATCAGCAGAGCACTTGGTGCTTGACCTAAGTAATCCTGATCTTCGAGAAAATGCGCTTCTTGAACTTTCTAAGGTAACTTTTGCACGTTTTGATTCTGTCACTTCCTATATCAATCATGAAGGACCAAGTCTGAGGCTTAGTACTTTTGGATGTTCTTGACTATTTAAATGTTATTGCTTTATTTGCCTGCCTAATTTTATAACTAACAAAAGGAAAGTGCCTTTGTTTGCTGTAGCGAGAAACTGATTCAGAAGCTTGGTAGTTGCATCATGCTAAGTTTGCATTCAAAATTGTAGCCTTTTCTTTATTACATTCCGACCCATAAACTACTTGTAGTATCTTGATACATATGCCATATGGTAATAAGAGCCTGCGTTGCTTTCAAAAAAGATATGTTATATGTTTATGATCACAGGGAAGCTTGCTTGATTTTTGTTTTCAGCAGATATTTAAGTTTATTATTCTATATGGGTTCAATGTCTTAGTTGATAACCCTAAAATATTTGTGCCCATGTTTTTTCCTTTAGGTAGCTATGCAATTTATATTACAACATTAGTATGCTGCGATATAAACTCTGTGTGTCTTTGGTTTCATTTTTTAGAACAAGGAGTTATTTCAAGATTTGGCTCCTTTCGTGTGGAAGTCTTTTGGTACTATTGCTGCACTCATACAGGTAACTTCCGTTTCTTACGTTTTTTATATTTAGAAGAGATAATTGTTTCTAGATTTGGCTCCTTTGTTGTGGAATTCTTTTGGTACTATTGCTGCACTGTTACAGGCATCCTACTTAAGTTGGCAGCTTAGTTTAGTCCCATCATGTTTTGCCTCTCATGTATGCCTGTCATATATTTGTCCGTATCAGCTTTTTAACAAAGTTGGTTAAAGGAGGTTCCTTTAGAAGTTTATTACTCATTGCTGGCTCTCTATTTTTCAGGTAAACCTACTTGGTTTGTGTTCACCCACTTGATCACAAATGTTGAATGTTGAACGTTCACATATTTTTATTATTATATTATTATCTGAAAAAGTTATGGGTCCAATAGTTCAACGGGAGGAATATTTTGCTAAAAGTAATAATGAACACAAGGATCTGGAAATAGCTTAGAGAATCAATCTATGCTGCCCCTTGGTTAGCTTTTGTAGTTTTAGATGGTTAAGATGTATTTGAAATTATTTGTCTAGATGGATGGTTAATGAAAAACTGGATTTTTCTGTCAATTTGTTGTGTCTCTGCACATATTTTTGTGTATTTTTGTCATATGATGTTCATATCTTCTGCCTATATTACCACAGGCAAGATTCTCTGGTAGCTTTTAATCTTGTTGATGGATGCTTATTGGGGTTATTCCGTGATGTTGGTTTCATTTCTACTTGCAGGAGATAGTTTCAATTTACCCTGTTCTATCACCACCAAATCTGACTGCGGTACAATCCAATCGAGTTTGCAATGCTCTTGCTCTTCTTCAGGTCACGTGCTTTCCTGTTTCAAGTTTCATTTTTAATGTTATGTTATTAGCTATATACCTAAGATTTAGTCATTCATCCAAATGAGAAGCACATTTCCAACTCCTTGTGTTAAACACAGGGTTTAGATCCTTTCTTATTTTTTATTTTTTAATTAACTTAGTTGCTGACTTTTAAGCTTGAGAAAATGAATGCTATTTAGAAGGTCCATATTCATGTCAATTAAAATCAGACAACAGTCTTTCTAATCCAATCTTTTGAAATTTAGTTACAATGATTATGCTACTAGTTTTATTTTCCTCAACATGGTCATTTCTTAGACTTCAAAGATCAAATTTGTTTTTCTCAGTTAGTGTCATGAATTCTTCCCACTTTAACGCTAACAATGTTCTGTCATGTTTCAAATTTTCTGGCAGTGTGTAGCTTCCCACCCAGATACAAGGATGTTGTTCCTCAATGGTAATTTGGCCTTTTATCTTTTATGGCATGTAAAGTTTCATGTTCCTTATTAATTTATTCAACTCTAAATTATTCTTCCTCTAAACTTTTCTCCGTTGCAGCTCATATACCTTTATATCTGTATCCTTTTCTCAATACAACGAGCAGGTCAAGACCATTTGAGTACTTAAGGCTTACTAGTTTAGGAGTCATTGGTGCCCTAGTGAAGGTACTTCTTTTCGGACAAATTATCCATGGGGGGG